TTTTTTAACTGTTTTTAGATAAATATTCTCATTAAAATAGTGTTTTTGAGTTTCATTTAGTATTAATTTAAGTTTAGTTTTCGTGCTTTCGTCATAAATTTAATATTTATGTGTTTAGGACTTAATTTGTTAGGAATATTCACCTATTGGTTGCTACAAGAACATCTAGAAATATCTATTTACTAAACCGAGGACATGTTTTATTATGTGGTTTAAAGGACATTTCAGGTACCAAACGTTTATTATTGATGAACTTATTTAAAAATCTTACTATCTTTATTCTTATATTATGAAGTGAATTATGTGGTCTTTTGTATACATGTAAAGAGTAATAAACCCGTCACAAATCCGATTGCAGTTTGGTTCTAAACAAAATTTTGCAAAATCTCAATAATGTGAATTTGTAGATATACATTTATCGTAACAAACAAAATTTTACGACTTACGCTTGGAAAATATTAAATACTTCAGTTTTGATTTTGCTATTAACATCATATAGATTGCAATTTGTTGAGGGCTTTTTCGCAAATTTTATTTTTAATATAAACAGTATCACACACTATAAGAAATAAACAAATTTAAAGCTCATAAGTAAGAAAAACTTCGAATTACAATTGATACAAATCAAAATATAAACAGAGACCGCCAATGTTGCCAAATGATGAACTGATTTTTGTTTTTTCCCGTTTTTTTCCCGATTTTTCTCATTGTTTCTCATTTTTTCCGTTTTCCTGTTTTTTTCTGTTTTTTCCTTTTTTCGTTGTCCCGTTTTTTCTGTTTTTTATTTTTTCGGTTTTCTCGTTTTTTCCGTTTTTTTCCATTTTCCGTTTTTCCCTTTTTTTCCATTTTTCCTTTTTTCCACGTTTTTTTTTCGGTTTTATATTTTCCCGTTTTTTTTCGATTTTACGTTTTTTTTTTCATTTTTTTCGGTTTTTTTTCGTTTTTCGTTTTTCGTTTTTATTTCGTTTTTTTCCGTTTTTTTTTTTTTTTCGTTTTTTCGTTTTTTTTTTATTTTCTCATTTTTCCGGTTTTCCGTTTTTCCATTTATTTCCATATATTTCGTTCTTCTCGGTTCTTTTTTTAAATAAAACCTCTGCGATTAACCTTGAGAAGTACTAAATTCCTAAAAGATAGACTATGATTTTCCTTGGAAGGTTTTGAAAAGCTCTAATAATTTGGTCACGTCAGGGAGCTTTTTTAGCTGAAACAAACTTTATAATAATTTCACTTGTCGTCATGAAGACCCTATTAAAGTAGATTAAAGCTCTCCTAACCAACAGACCACCAAAATGTTTGTGTAAAATGATCTTGTTTGTAGCGACCATGTTTAATGAAAAAGATTATTTTGGGGAAAAATCTTTGGTTCTTTTGATATTTGAGAGTTCAAACTTAAATTAAATAAAAAAAACCTTATTATTTAATGTTAAAAATATGTATTAAAAATTAAATACCTACCAAATTTTATGATTGACAAAATCTTCAATATATTCATTTAATCAGTTTTTATAAATGAAGTATAATTATTTGCAAGCAATTATCCAATTCTTAACGTATTATTCCGACTGCATTAATAACGAGTTGTACTATTATATAACATTTAACTACTTTCCTATCAAAAACGCCAATCTATTATTTCATAAGTACGAGTATTATAATAATTATTGAAAGCCATTCATAATAACCAATAATTGAAATCTTCTGAATAAACAAATTGCCTTTCTATTCTTCTGTTGATTCTAACTGGAGAATTATCCAATTTAAATAGGAAAATAGGGAATATTCATTAATTTTTTTAATATGATTAAATAATTTAATTTTCCTCTTAAAGCTGCCACAAGAACCCATATCTGAAGCAATCAGAAATACTCTTTAGCCTTGCCCGTGTCCTCAATGAGGTAGCGCCCAGACAAGAAAGGCATCTCCGCATTCTTTGCAGGGTTCGCCCTACCAATTCCTAAAGCACAGTGTAAAGAACTGAAGATTTGGTTTACTTTTTTCCGAATACAGCCCTGAGGTGTCAAAAAGCGACAGACTGTTTTCTACCGCGCGAAAGGCGGGTATAGACCATGGAGGTATAATACTTATGGAGATGCCATGAGGCAATTGTTTTGCATATGATACGTTTTATTAAAAATGATCCCATTGGGCGTGGCTTAAATGGTTGACTAAGCAGGGTCGTATTCAAATATAATTAAAGTCCGTATGCCGAATTACAACTTTTAAATGACTTACTTACCTAAAATTTGTTTCAACATGATCGATTCGAAATTAATTTAATGACATTGCGCAATTATGACTTCTACACTATTTACTATTATTTATTAACCGTTTTCCGACCAAGCCAATGCCAAGACCATATAAGAGATTAATATTATTATATTGTTCTGTCTTCGCCGAAACCGTCCGATATATGACCTGTGTGATCGAAAATCAACGCTCGAATAACACTGTGCATCAGATTTGTTAATCTCTTTGTGCTTTAAAACTAAAACCCGAACAACGATTTTTCGTTCAAGGACTCTCTTGTCTTGATCAGAGCTGCCAATGTCAAAATCTGACAATGAGGAGAATTATGACATCAAATTACCAAACCAAAAACCAAACCACTACATGAATTGTGAATAAATATATTTCAGTAAAAATACAGCCAAGTTTGTAGAAAGGACAATTAATTACTTTTAAATGTAAAACATGTAGGTCTTTCTGCTGCAGATGACATACATTAAAAATATGACCCGCTACAGCCAAAAGTTTAAAAATACCAAAAATTCAGCTAGGTATGACTTTATGGTTAAAAGTAGATGGAAGAAAACCATGATCAAAACTACTCTGTCAAAACCAATCGGAACTAAAAAGACTCAGATAATAGTTGTTGGTTTTATTTATGTTTGAAATAATTAATTATATAGGTTAGGTACACATATTACTAAAATTGCAAGCAAGTACTTACCAAAGATTTCTATAATTGGTACCTATATATAATAAACAACAATCTCACAGATGCACAGCATACAACTATACAAATGGAATTATAGAGATAATTTATTTTAAAAATAGGCATTCAGTTGCGATTTGTGATTACAAAAAGAAAACTTTAACCACTTTTTCTGATCAGTAATGTTAGTGTTATAGTGAAAAAGTTTCTAGAAACTGGTGTTTTTAATCCTAATAAAGCATTGTCAAGCTAATGTTCTTTATTAAGTTAGTTATTTAAGTTTTATTGTAAATAAAGTGTATATTAACTAAACATTCATTTATTGTCGGAACAGCACTCTTCTTCAATCTGACCCTAAACTCACTCTTATCAAAAAATTCTTCCTTGAAGACATGCTATTCGGTTTAGGCTCAAATTAGTCTTTTCCCACAAATTTAGACCAAATTTTGAGATATTGTGGGTCTTTTGGAAACCTATAATAAAAAAAAGTTAAGCATTCTAAAAAAAATTCTAAGTACACTCCTTATACTTACTTATGAAAACTTAAATTAGATATTTTCTTACGCTCTTTCACTGAAGAGTTTTTACAATTGATTTTGGCACACTTAGTCATGATTTTTATACAAATTAATAAAAAAAAACACTTATTAAGATAGAAATAACGTCGAAATATTTAAATTTGAACAAAGTTCTGACAGCTCTTTGACAACTATGACATGACCACTAAGAGAGGGGGAAGGGGTGTCGTTTTTTTTTGGCATGTCATCTCCATAGTATTCAACCCACATACTTTGATTTTCTTTTACTATACGGAGAATGGTCGCACTGCGCAGCTTTCTGATTGCCATTTAAAAGGAGATAGAAAACTCCGCCATTTTGAACCCTTATTACGTGTTGCCTACATCTTGGCGCAATATTTTTAATAGGTGCGTTTTAATCATCCGCTTCTGCTTCGGAATTGTCGGTTTTCTTGTTTTAATCTGACAGGTTAAACCGACTAAACCGACAATTCCGGAAGCAGAAGCGGATGATTAAAATGCACCTGATATTTTGCTTGCTGCTGTCAGTGTCAGTGAATATTATTGTTTGAGTCACAGTTTATTGCTAAAGAATCAGTTAGCTCACTCGGATCCGTTGAAAGTTCAAAAATAACATCCATTCCAGGGATACAAATTCAGGATACGCAGAAGACTGCTGTTTTATTATAGGCGGTTGTCATATATTGTATTATCCGAGTTGCGCAGTGTATAAACTGAAATATTGAGGTCCAAATTGCCGACGCAGAGTGAGCGATCTGATTCTTTAGCTGTGTCACAGGGTTCAAAATGGCCGCGCCCTATGTTGGGCATGTCGGACCTCTCTCTTGCCTCGTATAGTAATCAAAGTATATGATTCAACCTCATTGGTATAGACCCGAGCACGTACGCATATGAGGCAAGCCGAGGACGCATGAGCATACAGATGTGGACGGGTTTCCGAGGCACGGCCGTTCTATGTGCCGTACGGCCTCGCCCCAATCCGCTTGTTGGCGGCACATCAAAGGGAGGCAATGCGCAATACGTGCTCAGTCTGGACGACGAATGTGTACCGAAAGATTATAGCGAGTTTTAAAGGTTTATTTTGCATAAAAGAGTCAGGAAAACGTTTTGCTTCTCCTGAATGTATATAATCAGCGAGATATCTTATGGAGAGCAAGATAAAGTTATAAAACGGGTACTCAACTCTCAAACGTCATCCACATCCTCCATTTTTGATTTAATTATACGAGTATTCTGGGTGTACGGTTCCGTGTTCGCGAATTCACTGGATCAGTAGCGAACAGTGCCTCGTGCGTCTACCATTCGTGTGTACAAAATGCGTCACACGAGACATTCGATTTGGCCCACTGGCCTCGGCTTGCGTCGTGCGCATACATGCTTAGATCTGTACCGGCCTTAAGCCTAGTCTTCATAGCCTAGTCATTTGATTTGCTAAGTACAAAAGATGCCGCCTAAAGTAGAGGTAGCTGCTCATGGTCCATTCGGTACACCTTATCCTAAAAAACGCAGTTACCTGCGAAACGTCACATCCGTCAAACTTATACATTGACATTTTTTTAAAGTGACAAAACTAATGCCAAAGAAATGAGCGGCACGCTCGTTAACGTATTATTTTTGAAACGGTCATTAGTCTCATTTACGCATACCGTTTTTATCATAATCCGCAACTGTATATTTAAAATAACCTCTAGAAGATTCGTGTCCAAGTTATTACTGAGGCTGCCCAACCACTTCTTCCCCAGATACAGGGTCTTAGTGAGTCACGTGCTAGTTGAGAATAACAGGAAGACACGGGAATCCGTGGGTTATCTATTGGACAAGAGCAGCACCTCTAGCAACGATACGTTCACATCTAGCGAGGATAGTTCCGAAGAGATACTAGCAGTTAACGAAGACTGCTATCAATGTTGCAAATACTGTCGTACCCAATACTATATCGGAAGGGAGTTACCGGAATATTGTACACCGTCTCAGATTAAAACCGAAGCTTTTACGAACGCAACTAGCACTCCTTGCGAACAGATTGAATTGCTGTTAACTCCACCTTTAAGGAAAATCACCCCGAGTGAATTAAATTCTGTCAAGTTAAGAAAGAGCGCCGATTTTCTCGGACGACCCAAGACGCCCGAATTGAACGATTTGCTCAGAACGTTGAGGAAAAGGTTCGCCGTGATGCACTCTTCGGTGCTTAGCGATACCGAAGGTAATTTTAACGATGACGATGATGATTCTTGTTCCTTCTTAGTTAGTAGTACAGATTGCATTGAAATTGCCTGTTCTTAAGAATAAGATTTTGTATAATAAATGTTTTTTTCATTGATTGGTTTTTGTTTATTTATGAATTAAAGTACGGGGAAAAGAATAGAGGAAGACAAAGGAAAAATTGAGCAGAAACAATAAAGGAAAGGGCTATTATAGTAGTCATATATTTTTTAAATAGTTCATAGAAAATTTTGTAGTAAAGTACTTTATAAAAATGTTGTTGTTCAGATGTCACAGGAGGGAGAAAAAATAATTAAATCTTAAAATTCAGAAAATTTAAATTTTGTTGCCAAATATCTACTTTCATTTTCCTATTATTCACATCTCTGGATGTATTGTAGGAAGAGTAAAATATAAATACAATTAGGTGTCTGTTAAGGTAAATATGTTTGTATCCGAGCAAAATTATTTTATTTGAATGACTCATTTTCTAAGTGCTGATAAAACTTTGTCATATTATACTCATAATTGTTAAAAACGTTTTCCAGACGAATAGATTATGATCGTTGTTGTCGTCATATACAAATACTTTTTTTGGCTTCTTTTAAAGGAAAGAGCTCTGGAAAGTAGGCCCACAGTAATAACAGAAACTGTTGTTGAAGATGTGCGAATTCACATGGTGCAAAGTTCGAATAAATCCGTGAAGGAAATAGCAGTTCAAACAAGTAGAAACCCGAGTCTTCTACAAGTGAAATTCTAAAAAATCAATGTTTTAGATTTTGTGGCAAAAAATAGTCATAAAAGTTGAAAAAATATGAGGCAACCCACCCTGATAAGGTTAAGATACTGCACCAATTGTTTCAACTTGATTTTGTTAAACGTTTTATGGTCAGATGGTCAAAGTTTTTGCATGATGTTTATGAACTAAAGCAGCTATATTAAATGATAAACAAAATATAAATGAGGAGAACCTGTATATGTTTAAAAATATGAAAATAAGGGTTTGAGCTGTGCTGAACTCCTTGAACACACAATGTGAATTAATGTCGTTTATCCACCAAAGCCTCTACAACCTCATTTCAACATAGACTGAGTGAAAACATAGTTTTATATAAATTATTAGTTATGACTTTGTAATATACGTGACAAATAAGACAAATAACACTCTGGAAAATTTTTAGATACATAATAATTCGAAGTAGGCAATTAATAGTAGACGTTTTTAATAGGAAATTAATAGACCTGTTGAGCTAGTTTTTTCCACAGATCTAGTGCATTACTTAAACAACTCGATAATATTTTTAATGATATACGATGATGTGCAAAAAATGAACATTAAAAACAGAAAACAAACTGTAATTAGGTCATTAATAATTAATTGACAGGTGTTTTTTATATTAAGTATTAAAAATTAAAAATTAGAAAAAACCGACTTCAAAAACGTGGAGATGCCATCACCACATCTTAACCAAATTTATATGGGACCACCCCTGAGGTACCCCCTTACTAACAAAAAAGAATCATATAATTTGGACAAGGTGATAAAGCATTATCGCTAAACATACATAAAAAATTAAGAGTTTGAGGATTTTCTCATGGACTTAATTATTAGATTTTGATCAAATTTATATGGGACCACCCCTGAAGTACCCCCTTTCTAACAAAAAAAAGAATCATTGAAATCGGACACCGTCTTAAAGAATTATCGCTGAACGTACATTAAAAAAAAATATTGCGACCTCCTCCTTTTTTGAAGTCGGTTAAAAAGTACTTATAAAAGAAAAAAAACAAAATTGGGATTATTAGAAAAATTGGAGTTTCTATTTTTTCTTCCCCTTTTTTGCTTTCTATTCACATCTTCCACTTCTCGCTATTACAACGCATACAAATGTTTAATCCTATTTAGAGAACGAGCACCATTTGTGGCCACTTCACCGTTAGTGGCCACAAATCCTGTGTGCTCTTTATTTAAGCTATATTTAACATTTAAGTTAAATACTTAAATAAAAAAATTTGTTAGGCTATACGCTTATGATTTTTGAATATTTCTAGCGTTAAATTGAGTGGCCAGAAACAAAATAGCAAATATTGCATTTATACAATTTGTGGCCATGTGATGGCTATTTTTAGAAGGCTTATTATCCATTTTTGACCAGCCAATGGCTAAGTGATGGCCACTTATAGAACATTTATGATCCCATTTTGACCACATGATAAACTCACTGGTCACAAA